AACTTGAGAACCCCCGCTGAGGCTGCCGACGCTGTACCGCTGCTGCTGCTGTTGCTGCTGTTGCTGCTTGTTTTGCTGGTACAGGTGGTAGAGAGGCTGTTCCTCGCGGGAGATAGAGTGCTGCTGTTGCTGTTGTTGTAGCATATGCGGGGGCTGTAGCTGCTGGTGCTGCTGCTGCTGCTGGTGCTGCTTCCTGGAAGGTGCGGCGTCAACAACGCCGCGATGCATACCGTTTCCCATCACCTCCTCCACATCCTCTTGCCGATGCCGTACCTGCCCCTGCCGTACCTGCCGTACCTGTTGTTGTTGCTGCTGCTGCTGCTGCTTCACAGGCTGCTGTCCGCCTCCACCATAACAACCCACCGCAGCGGTGTCCATCATCCCATCCAAGTTGCTGCTATCATTGTCGTACATGTACGGCTGCTGAGGGCGAGGTGCTGCCATTAGTGCTGCTGTTGCCGCCCCGCTACCCGCCGCCGTCGTCGTCGTACTCCCCGCCGGCGCCGTCGCCCCCGCCGCCGTGACATGCTGCTGCGTATTGCTGCTGTTACTGCTACTGCTGCTGCTGGTAATGGCAGCTGTAGCGCAGGATGCCATTCCGGTGGTCTTGTTCGCCCCTGCCGCCCCTGCTGCTGTTCCTACTGCTGCTCCTACTACTGCTGCTGCTGCTGTCGTTGTCGTCGTCGTTGTCGGACCCGATGCGACGTACTTTGCAGCCTCCGCCTGGAACTCCGCCACCCATTCCTTGGGAAGCGAGCAGGAGGGGTAGATGCGGGAGCCCCCCGGGCCCCGAGTGGGAGCAGCGCCTTGTACGACATGGCATATGATACACAGCGTGGGGGTCAAGACCGGGGTTTTAGGGTGGTACCAAGGTTTTTTCAAGAGTTTTTCATGATTTCAACGTAGTTCGTTGTGGACAGTTAGTGATAGTGAAGTAAAATTGTCCCTTTACTAAGGGACTACACAATGGGACCCGCGTGAAGAGTGAGGTGGGTTTTTTTGCATGACCATCATGACTTGATTCCCACCCACCCCACCCCATCCCCCTCCTCACCCGACTTTCTACCTTCATGCACCCTCCCTCCTTTATCACCGCCTCCCCTCTTTAACCTTTCTGCTCGCCATTCGCCAGTGGTTCGTCTTCCTAACCCGGCCCTTTTTACCCCACCCCACCCCTTCCCCTCCCCCTTCCCCTCCCCCTCCCCCTCCCCCAAACCAGCAAACTCAAAAGCACACACACCTCCGGCCTCCAAGTGCGCAAACTGCCGTTTGAACGACTCCAACGCCGACGGGTAGTGGAAGTTGGGACGAGCAGTTCCGCCTGCCAGATACGCCGCCAGCATCTGAGGATGGTATTCTAAGATCTCCCGGTAAATCAACTCCCGTACATCTTCCAAGGTGAGTTTGCGGCGGTCAAACTCAAAGGCCATCTTGCTGAGGGGCTGGGCCACGGGCTCGCGGGCCAGGCAGTGAAGACCTGCGCGAGTAAATTGCGTGCGTATGTATGTATGTATGTATGTATGTATGTATGTATGTATGTATGTATGTATGTATGTATGTATGTATGTATGTATGACTTAGATTACACTGTGGGCCGCGAGAGCCGGCGGCCGAAGCCGAAACACAGCGCAAGGGTCGGGAGCACACAGCACAAGTCGGTTAGTCTTGTGTGCTCCCGACCCCGACTCAGACTGCCAACACTCTACGCAGCCACTCCGCAGCCCCTCCATCCGGGGGGGATGGCGCTGCAGTGAATACACCACGAAGGGCTCTCAGGTCCCGCTAGAGTGAGTCCACAAGTCTCAGCTAGGGCAAAGTCAAAGGCTCTCTGAAACAGCCCCCCCAAAACACAACCAGCGACACAGGGAAGAAAAACCCGAACATATGTATGTATGTATGTATGTATGTATGTATGTATGTATGTATGTATGTACGTATATATGTATGTATGTACGTTGGTGGGAGAAGCGGGAGGGGGAAGGCATGGGGAGGGGAAAATTGCAGAATGGATGTGTGGGCGGGTCGGCGGCTGTCGGGTGCCCACCGCCGGGGTCCTCCCCCTCCTCCTCCCCCCTCCCCCTCCCTCCCCCCCCCTGCCCCGGACCCCACCAGTAAAGTACGGATCCGCCAGCGCCTCCTCCGCCGTGGGGCGCTCCGCCGGGTCGAAGGCCAGCAGCCGCCGCAGCAGCCGAAGAGCCCCCCGATCGGCCCGGGGGAAGTGCAGCTCGAAGGGTATGCCGGGTTTCGGACACATGTTGAGCAGGAAGCGGCGAGCCTTCTCGTTGCGGACCTGCGGGTGAGGCGGATGGGGGCGAGGGGGGGAGATGTGCGCGAGGGAGGGAGAGAGGGAGAGAGAGAGGGGGGAAAGACGAACCACACGCGATTGAAGCTGCTGCCAGGGCAAGATAGTAGCAACCGAAAGAACTGACCGAAAGGCGTCCGTGGCGAGTGTGACGACTGTAACCTCGGGATGACGACTGTAACCTCGGGATGAAGAATTGACGTAGATGTTGGAAGTCCTACCTAAGCCGCCAGAAATATTATAGCCAAACCGTAAACTAGATGGTGTAGAAAAAGTAGTGAAGGCGGCGAGAAAAAAATTGTGCTGACGTAAAAGTGGCGTAAAGTTGCTGGCCAGGAGAGAAAGCTGCATTGCTGATACTGAAAGGCTGCCGGTATGCAAGTGCTCCTCCCAACCCCCCAAAAAAACTAGAACGCGCGACTGACCCGACCGACCCAAACTAAACTATTCCGGCTAGCCTACCGACGCCAACGCGAAATACCAAAGAAGCTCGAACAACCTTATGGACTCACCTGGCCAGGCCGCCGAAGTAGTGGCAAAAGGCACATGCAAAAACAAAAGGGTAACAAAGAGGTGAGGCGGGTGCGATAAAGGACAAGGGGACATGCAAATGCTGCTGAGGAATAGTAGTAGCTGGCTGGCTGATTTGAAATTTTGACTGAAAAGGGAAATTTAAGGAAAAGGAAACGCTTAAGGAAGGAAACACAAAGCGAAGTGTCGTACCGGATGAGGGAATGATGACGCAATGAACAAAAAGCAAAACAGGGTGAAAGCAAATTGGGAAGAAATAATAAAGGAGAGAGGGGGGGGGAAAGCGTGTGTAACGCGCGCGCGCCCGCGCACACGCACGCTCTCACGAGTCAAGGCTTTGCCATGCGAGTTGTCGCGCACTGAGCCTGAGACACGAAGCAAGTCTGTTTGTGTATGCGTGTTTGTGTATGTATGTATGTACGTATGTATGTATGAATGTATGTATGAATGTATGTGTGGTTTTAGTGTAGTGTAATTTGGGGGCTGCGGGAGAAAGGTGGTGGGGAAGAGGGTGGCTTGACAGGGGGAATTGGCGGATGCGTTTTGTCGTACCATGCCGAGCAAAGCAGACCCCACTTTCCCTGCCCGCGTCAAGAAACCCTCAGAAGCCCCCACACTTACGAAGTAACCCAGCCGCGTGACAAAAAAACCCAATCCCTCTTTCTCCCCCCCCAACCCCCAAATTACA